TCTCTCCCGAAGTGGCGATGTTTACTGCTCACCGCACCAGGTGCTCATTTGAGGCTGAGTCGAACCAGGGGAAGCCCACTATCAGTTTCATCGTCGCCAGTGTTGGCCGTGAGTGTGAATCGAACTGGGGTCGCCGGGTTCGTAGCACGGTGCGATTACCGCTGCACTACCGCTCCCCACAATAAAATTCACGCTGACTCACACCATCACATTCACACCAACACACTCACAAACTCTCGTACAAACAACCGCCATTCGCCACTAAGTGGCGGTGACGTCACCACGACGCTTGTGCCAGGCCATGTGCACCTTGAGGCCACGTGAAGTGTCGAACGCCCGTTGGCAGGAGGTCACGGGGCAGAACCAAGTGCCACGGGTCGACTGACTGAGATGACTGGCTGATGTACCACCTGTGCCCCCTACTGTGCCAAACTGCTGTGCTTTAGCCACTCGGCGCTCCGCTCGTTGTTGTGAGCGTTGCTCCTCCACCCTCCGTTGTTGTTGGAGGGCGACTGCCTCCAACTGCCCAACAGCATCCTTCACGAGCCTCCTCCACAGAGGCCGATCTTGACACCGCTGGTACCAGTCATCGGCAAGTCCACTCAGCTCCACGTCCTCCTGTACCACGTCACTCCATCTCTTCTCTAGCCCGTGCCGTGCCCGTTTAGCCCCTTCGATCCGGCCGAACAAAAGCTGTTTCGGCATGCGGTGGCTGGGCATGCGGGCTACATGACCAAGCCAACGCAGCTTTTCCTGCCGGAGGAGCTCACCGATAGGACCTTGCCCACATCTTTCAAAGATTTGTGAGCTCCTCGCACAATCCAGCCTGGTTAAACCCAGGATTGTTCGTAGGCAGGCTAGCCTAAATGTTTCTAACCCGGCGAAGATGTTCCATTAGGGGGGTCCACGTTTCGCAAGCGTAGAGAAGGGAGGGAATGACCGTGGCCGAGAAGACCTGAAGCTTAGTGCGGAGCGACAGCCCAGGCAGGTTCCACATAGCGTTACGCAACCAATGAAAAGATATTGCCGCTCGACTGATTCGGAGTGAGACCTCTGCTGTTAAACTGGAGCCGGTCATAAGCACACTGCCCTGGTATGGGAAACTCTCCACTCTCTCCACAACTGCCCCATCACCGATTGGAAGTTGTAGGGGTGGAGTGTCCGATGGTACAAAATACCCAGGCTGGTGCTTAGTTTGGTGGGGCTGATGGTAAGGCCCCATCTCTTAGTGGCACGCTCCAGTCTCAGTAGTAGCGTCTCCAACTCCTCCTCTGAATGAGCAGCTGTTACCAAATCATCGGCATACATAACGTGATTGAGCAATAGGGAGCCATCCCTTGACCGCACCCGGGCATCGATCAGCCTCCCATTATATCTGTACCAAATGGAGATTCCCCCGGTACGGCTATTGAAGGCTTCACGAACTACGCGGTCAAAATAATTGTTAAATAATGTGGGAGCCAGAGGACATCCCTGTCGCACCCCAAGGTGTACAGGGAATGGCTCTGACTCCCGGCCACGTAGTTTTACCCAGGCCCGCTCACCATCATGAAGGTCCTTAATGATCGTGAGCAGAGGGTCAGGGACTTCAAAAGCACGAAGAACAACCCAGAGCCCAGGCCTACTGATGGTATCATAGGTCTTGACCAGGTCAATAAAGCAGAGATGTAGGTCTTGCTGGAATTCCCTACACCTCTGCTGTAACAGATGGACAGAAAATATGGCATCTGTGCAGGACCGCCCTTTCCTGAAACCGCATAGGGGCTCCGCAAGCCTCTCCTCAGCGTGCCTGGCAAGGCAATGTTGAATAATCCTTGCCAGGACCTTTCCTGGCACACTGAGGAGTGAGATTCCCCAGACTGTTGTTATGATGTCATATTGGGCAGTCTGTGCACAAACGCCACCCTCCCTCAGCATTTCGCTTGGGATATCATCTCTGCCCGGTGCCTTTCCTGGTCTCAGACTCCGGATCGCCGTCAGTACTTCCTCAACAGATGGCACCTCAGCCAGCCACTCACAGGGGGTGACTTCCTCCAATATTTGAGGCACCAGAGCCTCAGCAGGGTCATCCCCACTTTGTGCCACGATGTTTCCTGGCTGAGGGATCCCCCCTCCCCCAGGACCTCACAGAAATGCTTAGAAAATCTGCAAACCTGTTCCTGGGGGTCGGAGATTAGATCACCGTTTTTTCCCCTAATGATGGTAATAGGTGTGGTACTGCAGGTTACTTTTTTGATGGAGTTAAATAGAGATTTGTGATCGCGGGCCACTGAGGCAGACTCCATCTCTCAGGAACCCGCAACCACCACCCATCCTTGCAACGCCTCACGGCTCTCCAAACCTCCGAGCGAAGGCTGCGGTAAGCCTCCTCATTCTCTGACGTGGGATTCCGTAGCCGATGACAGTGGGCCTGTTGCTTTTTCTCAACTATCCTGAACACCTCCTCTGTCAACCAGGGTCTCTGGGGAGGTCTGGACCGCGTACCCAAAGCAGCCATTGCAGCTGCATGAGTCACAGTCCTAAACCTCGACCATTTACCCTCGACATCAGGAGGAGTGGGGGACGATGCCAACCCCAGCCGCAAGCGATGATGAAATTCTCGCTTGCAACTTTCATCAAATAACTGAGACCAGGCCACTTTAGGTTGGAATGGGGTCCTGGGTGTACACCCACCACCAGAGTGGAAGAATGGCAGGCGCATCTTATAGATGACTAGTCGATGGTCAGAGGGCAGATCAGCTCCACGGTAGGTCCTGGTGTCAAGGACATGGGCTCGCATCCGCTGGTCCATCACTATGTAGTCCAGCAGATGTTCTTGCTTGGACCCGGCATGCATCCATGATGTTGTGTGGATGCGCCGATGCCGGAACAGCGTGTTGGTAATTATAAGCCTATGGGCTGCACAAAAATCTAGCAGCCTCCTACCCGTTGTTATTGAGCTGATTTGGCCCATGCCCTCCAATCACTCCAGACCAGGTGCCAGCATCATGACCAACTCGGGCATTGAAGTTACCCAACAAGATGACTCTATCCTGAGGGGCCACTTTAGCCAGCACCTGTGACAGGAGCTCATAGAAGGCATCCGACTCATCGGCTTTGCCTGCATCCCTCCACGGATGTTCGTCTTCGGTGGGGGCATAAGTAGCCACGACCACCACTCCTCGCCTCCGGTTGAGGGGAAGGCGAGCCCAAAGTAGCCTGGGGCTTACAGCTTTCCACACCTCACCGCCACGCTCCCACGCCCCTTTCATTCTTATGTTCAAAAGAAGAGCCACACCCTGTTGTTTGGCAGTCTGCTGCCCCGAGTAGAGGACTGTCCACCCCTCATGGTGACAGGAGCCAGAACCGGTCCACCAGACCTCCTGAATGCCACAGAGATCCAGGCGGTACCAGTCCAGCTCCCGACAGAGGAGTGGCAGCCTCTCCTCCGCAGTGAGCGTTCAAACATTCCACGTGGCCACAAGAAGTGGCTTTTCGTTGTTTCTGGAGGAGCCCCGAGGGTAGAGATTCAATCTCCTGGCTCCGCCTATTGGGGTTTGGCCAGGATACGTCATAGATGCCTGACCCCCGGTGCCTCCGGCACAAGCTTATTAGTAAAAAAAAATATTCGTGGTTTCGTGGTAAAATTTTTGAAGGTGGGTGGGGGGGGTTACCAGCCCCTCGCACCCGTCCAGAGCCCCCGTTTAGCCACTGTGGGGGTCACAGACGCCATGAGAGGAGGGGCCAATCGGAATTGGCCCTCCCCCCACAGCACTGTCCACGACAGAGTTGCCCGTCCGGCACCGCGAGGAGGTAGGGGTTTTTTTGCCGGACCGTACAAACTCACACAAGGTCACACACACACACTCACACACCCTTACACAATGTCACTCACACAAACTCTGAAACTCACAAAAACTCGCACACACACACACTCTCACACAAAGACAAACACACAAACTCTCACACACACACACTCACACAAAGACAAAAACACACAAACCCTCACACACACACTCTCACACAAAGACAAAAACACACAAACTCTCACACACAAACCAAACACACAAACTCTCGCACACAAAGACACACACACAAACTCACGGCCGGGTGGCGCTGTGGTCAACGCACGCGACTCGTAGCGAGCGACGCGCGAGTTCTCATCCTTGTCTGGGTGGAGTTGGGGCAGGACAGGGATGTCGACCAAGCCCCCTCACCCCTTCGGGGGGGGGGGCGATAAAACGAGCACCACTTTGTGGGACGTCAACATAGTGTTTTATAATACTAATTTATTCGCCCCCCCTCCCGTCATATGAATGTGGAATTTACACCACGATGTCCAACGCTGTTTTGAATGGACAACACCTTCGCTTTGACCACTCCGTGTAGCCATACGGACCGCCGTGCCACACGTTCGCACACGCCTATCAAGGCCTGGACGGTGTTCCCGTTGGCGGTGTGGGCAACATTCTACTTGACCACGTTTGTCTCCCCAGGTTCTCATTTGACGCCGAGCCGACCAAAGGAAGACCCAGGAGAAGTTCTAGCACCACTTGTCACCGATGTTAGCCGTGGCCGGGGAGGGATCGAACTCAGGTCGCGGGGTGAACGTAGCGCGGGACAGGCGCCGCGGCTCCCCATGCACACGGAGTTTGTCGTCTCTCGCCATCGTCGCCTTGAACATGTTGAAGCGATTTGCCGCTCGCAGCCGCTGTCCCATTGCATCCATCCCACCTCCGATCCTCTCTCCATCCCTCCTCTCTCAAGCCCCACCCCCACCCGTCTGCCCATCTCCCTCCCTCCATCTCTCCCATCCTCGCTGCACAATCCCCTCGCTCCCTCATTCCATCTATTTTCCCCACCACACCGCATTCCAACTATTCACCCTCACTCTCCCCTTCCTTCCCACCCTGTCTGTTTTCCTTCCATCGCTCGCTCTCTCTCTCTCTTGCTCCCTCCCTGCATACCTCCATCCCTCTCTCTCTCTCTACCCTCCCACTCTTCCACCCACATCCTTCCCCCCCCCTCTCTCTGCCTACCTCTCCATCCCTTTCCGCTCTCCCACCCTCCCGGTCTGTCCGCCTCCCTCCCACCCTCGCTCCCTGCCCAGCTCGCTCTGCTGGCGTATACGGAAGCGTTGGAACCACCGCTGTTTCGGCACGATCCCTTCAACATGGCGTGAGGCGCTCCCGACGAGAGAGAGCGAGCGAGATACGCAGAGAGACGCGGAGACAGCCAAGGGAGGGAGAGAGAGAGACAGGCAGATCCATTCCTGTTTGGCACATCATCATCATCTCTCTCGCTAGCCGCCTCGGTTTTCGGAGCGAACTATTCCGACAGTGCGCACACACACACATACCGCACACACACACGCATACATCACCACCATCCGTCATCGGCATCATCATCATAAAAGACTCCGACTGAATTAGACATCGCACCATTAATCCCGTGGCGAGCTAGAGCCGCGCGCTCGCGAGGCGTTCTCCTTCGTTTGATTGTCAAGTCGGGAACGCTTCCTCCGTCCCTCTTCCACCTCGTGCGACGCTCGCGGCGCGAAGACCCCTCGAGTCAAAGTGACTTTCAGCGCCGTTCCGTCGACGAGGATGATGACGGCGGCGGCGGTGGTGGTGGTGGCGATGGTAGCGTCGGCAAGCAGCGGTCCGAAGTTAACTTGGCGCTCTTCCCTCGCCCCACTCGTGTGGCGTTCACGAGAGGCAGCTTAGGCGAGGTGGTGTTGCAGAGGACCACGTGTCACGTTCACATCTCTTGAAGGCGTCGATGAATAACTGATTAACCGAAGACACGTGAAAGGCGGGGGGGGGGGGGAGATAGCATTAATTTGATCGGGAATCCGTCCTAACTCATCCCCATCATATGGTAGATAAGAAGTAAAGAGGACAATGAGATAAGGTCTGTGACGCGAGTGGAACTCTCATCCAGTGTGGGGTGTGGGGCGGTGGTGAGTGGGAGGGCTGCGTTTCACGTGGATGCCACTTCGGGCGTGACGGACTCAATCGCGGAAGTCGCTCTTCCTCCCTCCCTCCCCTCCCAAGTTCGCTCGCTCGCTCTTGCCGCTGAACTTCACACGAAAAGTGCAAACGTGGCTCGTGTGGCACGGGCTGGCCAGCCGCGTTTTGTCTTTCCTGCTTCGAGACACGTCGGCACAATCTTCAAAACAAACCTCCTCCCCCCCCCATCCTCAACCGGTCTGTCCAGACTCGAGGAGCATCACTCACTCAGGAGCAGCAGCAACACAACATTCGCGACTTAATTCTTTGGAGCGGGAGAGAGGGGAGAGAGAGTTCAGCGAGAGGGGAGTTCAGAGTGAACAGGCAGGGAACGACTTTGATACAGCACTTGAGACGACACCATGAGGAGGAGACAGAAGAGAATCCTGCAGGCCACGGGGCTCTTCGTCTTGGTGGCCGTGTTCGCGCCCAACATCGGCCTGTGGTCGTTGTTCCGTGAGCGGCAGCTCGAGAAGATCCCGCACATGCCAGGACACCTGCAGGTAGGGCCACGCGCACCCCGCGCGGCGTCATCGCTCTTCTTCGTGTGCTGTTGCCGCCGCTGCTGTTGTTGTTGTTGATGTTGAGATTCCGCGTTTGTAGGCGAGCTCCGTGCCCGGTGCCAGGACCTTTACGAAGTACTTTGGCGTACGTAGGCAAGTGATGAATGGCCGCTTAACTTTGCTCCGTGGAGTTGTTGCTGCCCGATGCTGCTGCAGTTGCAGCTGGCCACGGTGTTTTTTGAGTCGCGCATTGTACGAGAGCTGCGAAGCGCTATCCAGTGCTAGGTGATACACATTACAACATGGTACGGTGTTGGAAAAGCGTTGTTGTCAGAAGTGTTGCTGGTGGCTATGTTTATATTTCACATTGTGGCACTCGCTGCACGTAGCCTCATTGCGGTGCATGGGGTACAGCTTTCTAAGTCTGTTGCACGGGTCATTTAGATCGACAGTCGGTAAAGTCGCATGCTCTACCCAAACCAGTTTTGCATATCGTTGGCGGAAGTTGTGTTAGTGAGCACCGAGTGAGGTTGATATGGAGACACGACTCTGGTGCTGTGAACACAATAAACATCCCCCCCCCCCCCGTGTAGCCTGTAACAGACTGTAGGGGCAAGTGCTGTTAGCGAGTAGCACCGACAGACATACAAAGGCAAATATTACCCGTGTAGCCTTAATAGACTGTAGGGGCAAGTGCTGTCAGCGAGTAGCACCGACAGACATACAACAAAGGCAAAGATTCCCCGTGTAGCCTTAATAGACAGGTAGGGGCAAGTGCTGTTAGCGAGCACCTACGAAGGCCGGCACGGTGGCACACGAGGCGGGGGGGGGGGTGCCCAGCAACCTTCCGTCTTCTCACCGCACCGGGCGACTCAATTCGAGGCTGACTCGATCTTCGGAACGGTTCAAAAACGATCGTCACCGGGGGGGAAAGGGGGGGGGGGGTAATCGAACTTCAGGGGTCCGCCGGGTTCGCAGCGCAGCGTGTAAGCGCGCTCATCGCTGCACCGAACCCCGTGAACACGGCTGAACACGAACTCATCGCTCGCTCGCCCACTCTCTCACCCACTCGCACGGACTTGATTTTGTCTTCTCATTGCCGAGGTTGTGCCACGCGCGCAACAGCAACAGGTAGTCAAGTAAATTTCGATTTGAAGCTTTCGTGACTGCAGGGATTCATGTTTTATTATTGCCCTTCTACGTGACTTTACCGATTGAACCAAGAATAGGTAGTCAAGTAGCCTGGTTAAGGCCGAGTTCACCTAGAGGGAGGGCTCAGGAAAACGGGGGGGAGGGGTGGGATGAAGATGTTGCACTTGGACATTGTTCAGAGTTATAGGTTGCGCCAGGGAGTTGAACCCGGGGCGGCAAGCCGCGCACGTGCAAAGACAAAGATCCCCCTCATAGCCCGAGATAACTGCTGGGGCAAGTGCTGTTTGCGAGCATCTATTAAGGCCGGAACGGCACACGAGCATCACTCACTCCTGCATGTACACACACGTTTACCCACAAACAGATGTACACACGTACAGAGACGTGCGCAATTAAACGCGCCTGCTTTGTGCTTGCTGTGGTGTGTGTCGTGGGGAGCGGCGGTGTAGCGGTTAGCGCGCTGCGCTACGAACCTGGCGTCCTGGGTTCGATTCTCGCTCACGGCCAACACCGGTAACGAATCTGAACCGGTCCTGGGCCTCCCCTAGATCGACTCTGCCTCAAATGGGTAACCCGATGCGGCGTGTAAAAACATCGCCACTGGGGAGACAAAGGCGGCCGGGCGTGGTGCTGGCCACCCACTCCCCTCGTGTGCCGTGCTGGCCTTCATAGGTGCTGCTCGCTAACAGCACTTGCCCCAACAGTCTGTTCAGGCTACACGGGTGATCTTTGTCTTTGCATTATATTACGCACTTGCTAAACATGCATACACGGTAGACCAGATACAGGCACGGAGACAGCACGGACAAAGATCCCCCGTATAGCCTTAACAGGGGGAAGTGCTGTTAGCGAGCACCTATTAAGGGCACGCACGGCGCACACGTACACCGTCATATACCCACACAGCAGCTGTACGTGCGTACACACAAATACACATGCGCGCAGTGCTGGTTACGCAACACACCAACGACACGTGCTGGCTTATAACACGCATTGTACTCACACCTGCGATCACGGTGTATCTGCAAAGTAGTATCCAGTATTCTTCTGTTCCATGCTGCGGATTCCTGCACACAGCAGGTGGCACCGACAGCAGCCTACTGAAACCGGTTCACGTTCGTGAGTCTCAGTTTAACACGTTGGCTTTCGCGGCCAGTATTATTCATAATGAAGGTTTTTTTGGGTTAGATCGCGTTATTTATGCGTCGTAACCCTCCACCACCCGACACGGCCAATCAGTAAAAAGTGTCACGTTGCAAAAGACACAAATAGTTCACTACTTTAGGCCACCGGTGTGTTGAAGAGTGGATCCACAACATTTACAATTTTTGGGTACGCCGTTTCGCTGGTAATTACATCCAACATCATCGGGCGATTTGCTAGACTGGTGAAGCCATCCACCTGCTTCCGGTCTTAAATAGTGCAGCGGGACGACGTCGTCGTCGTTGAACCCCATCAGGATTAGAGATCAGAGGCGGGGGTGTATGCAATTATGTAATAGATCAGTAATCAGCCACTTAGCATGTGACTCATCTGTAAGGAATTGCAATGTGTTGTGTATTACTTAATAATACGCTTCCAGGCTGCGCTGAGTCGATAGCAATCATAGCGATTAAAATTATTTTAATTCTTCTCAATTTCAATTGATTATTATGAATTAGTGAGTTTCATCCCATAAGCGCACAACGTGGGGTGATACGATTATGATGTGGTGAGGGTTTTTAAAATTATTATTCCTCTCTCTTAGTTGCATCGGTGATGATTTGTTACAGCGCGTGTGGCACAATTGTGCTGCATAGCGCGGCGCTTTCAGAAGACACATTCTGAGGCCGTCTGGAACGCTCCTTCCCACATTAGGAAGCCGCTGGGGCTGTACACTTTTACGTCCTCTAGATTTACAAACTCATTTCATTAAAACTGCTTTGTGTGTTTAGTTTGTTTTGTCCTTCGCCGGCACCATCTGATTAGCACGGTTAGCTACGTGCGGTGCGAAAGAAGGTACATATAAATGCGTTCACGACGATTGCTCTTGCTGCGACTGATCGCTCAAGACGGGCACGGCTTTGTGATGTGCTCGCGCGGGCTCACGAATGCGCGGCGAGACAACTTCACTTGGGGGCGTTCATCCACAGGGCAGCCGGCAGAGCCTGCAATCGTAATCTGTGAAGTAGCCGTGCAGATGATGATGATGATGGGTTTCGTGCGTTAAACCACGTGTGCAAGCGGTGTCGACTCGTGGTGTGTGTGTGTTCGACTTCAGCGTCAAAGGTGCTCACTCACAGCACTTGCCCCCCCAAAAGTCTGTGAAAGCTACACGGGGGATCTTTGTCCTGTTCTTGTTTGACAACATCTTCTTTGGGCCTTTCGGTAAAGTCACGTAGATAAGTTAAAATAAAAAAGACAAGAAAACTTCGACATTTCGTCATCAGTCGTAGTTTTTTTTTGTAAAAAAAAATGTTTTACCTATGGACGTGACTTTACCGAAAGACCCAAAGGAATATGAATTCCTGCAGTCACGAAAGCTTTGTCATCATCAAGATCATTCGTATGTTGGCTCAGAGGAGACGTATCATCTGCACTGGCTGTGGAAATGATGCCCCACCCTCCACCCGTGTGTTAAACCACGTGTACACGCGTTGTTTGTTTGAGATTCGTCAACATCATCGCCGTCATTGTTCAATAATTAATCTTATTTCAGAGCACGTATTTGTTTCCGATTAGGTTATTATTGTTCATTGACGAATGTGTTTGATGAATCTGTGTTATTTGTGCCTGTGCGCCACTGATGTGACACGTACTCGCGTATCTTTTAAAGTTTAATAGAGCAGAGAAGTGTGACGTGTAGGTGGGAAGGGTGATGATGGGCCTGTGGAGTACACCCATGTTGCTCAAGCAGTTGGTACACGTGTGTGGTCGTTTGACAGCATCACTCGTTTGTATGTCAGAGCAGAGATGTAGCCGCGGTGCACACATTTATACAAAGATCCCCGTATAACCTTTAAAGAGACTGTTAGGGGTTAAGTGCTGTTGGCGAGCAACTTCGAAGTCCGGCACGGCGCAAGTGGAAAGTGGTTTGGCCAGAACCACGTCTCGCCTCGGCTTTGTCTCGCATCGGTGATGTGTACACAGCACACGTACACACGCACGCAGATGTTAGACACACACACACGCGCACACGTTGGTGCACACAGTTAGCTCAGACGGGCCTCGTGGGAGGGTGCGTGAGTGTTGCCAGGAGATATTATCACGCAAGCCGACACCGTCTCCCCGCCCACTCACCCCTACAGCACCTCCGCCCCTACAGCAACCCCACTCCTACAGCAACCCCACCACTATAGCACCCCAAACCCTACAGCACCCAACCTCCTACAGCACCCCCACCCCCTATAGCACCCACACCCCAACCCCTACAGCGACCCACCTCTCTAGCATCCCACCCCCTATAGCGCCCCCACCCCAACCCCTACAGCGCCCCACCTCTATAGCATCCCACCCCCTATAGCGCCCCCACTCCAACCCCTACAGCGTCCCACCTCTATAGCACCCCATCCCCTATAACACCCCCACCCCTGCAGCACCCCCACCACTATCCCCATTCTCCCACTCGTCACAGCCCCGAGTCCCCGGGTCTTTCCGCCCTTGACTTCATCCCCATCGCTCTGCCGTGAGATTGTAATCCCCTTGCTGGTGCGTGGTGGCACAGCAGCGATCGAGTGTGCAGGCGGTGCAACTGCACCAAGGTTCACCGGCCAGAGGGGTCCACAGGTGCAAGGCTACGGAGAAAGGCAGGGGGAGGGGGGCATTGGGTATAAGGATGCCTCCTTTTAATTAATAAGAGCTTTATAGCT